GCAAGCGCTGGAGAGAAGGAGGAGGAAGAGGAAGAAGAAGAGAAGGAGGAACAGGAAGAAAATAATGGAAAAAAAAAAGAAGAGGGATAAAATGAGGAGGCTCATTATTTCTTAGGTAATTAAATATTAGCTGACTTGGAAGTCATGGTAGACAGGTTGCTCAAAATCAGCTCTGTATCCTACTTCTGTGTCCCCAGTAAAAGTATCACAATTGCCCTCTTTAAAATCTCCAACACCATGTGAAAAGAAGCTGAGAGCATTGCAATTACCCCCAACATTAGGACATAATTCCACATGAAAGGAGCAAAAGCTGAGTACCAGATAGATATATTTACAAAATGGAAATAGAATAGTTAGTTGGATGATGGAGGCTGAAATGGGAGGATCAAGTGGGAGGGAAAGGAGATCGATAGGATGAGGGAGAAAATAAAGTGAGAGATGACTAAAATTAAAGGCTATTTGAAAGGTAGTATGGAAATCTAATAGAGTTGAAGCTTCCTAAAATATATACATATATGAGGATGATATCAAGTGAAATCATCAAAAAATAGGGGAGACAGAGTTTCACGTGGACATTTCTGGTTAACAAATGAAGTTTCCAAAGCTGGAACTGGGTTACAGTTAATTGACTTGTCAGCCACAGGGGTCCTGTGGATTCCCTAAACAACCCAGGCAGTTGTCAATATTATAGATTGCTCTCCACAAACACATAGCAAGTCCCCATTGCTGAAGACAACACCTCCACAACTCATTGAACATGGAGAAATCCAACTGGTTCCTCCAGAGAGTCTCCACCTCTAAGTCCTAGTGATCTTGATACAGGAAGGCACTAGGCATGCTACCAAAAGAGAAACATAAAGGACAAGCCAGCAGCACCCTCTGTGATCTATAACCCTATTCTACCTGTTATGCAGTGGTGGCACAAAATAAGATTGGTGGTAAAGCAATATCTGATTTGAGCTAAGACTCACTCCATGCGATGGAACCCCATACCTATCAGTGCTTGTGTAATCAAACCTGAGACTAGATAGCCCAGGAGCCTAAGGTAAAAACCAATACTACTGTTTTTGGAAAATTACTCCTCATGACATTCTGCTATACTAATTAGTTGCTTGTTCAGCCATCATCAGAGAAACTTCCTTTTGCAGCAGATCTGCACAGACACAGAGACCAGCAGCCAGACACTATGCAGGGAATGAGAAACCTTAGAATACTCAGCCTTCAATGGGATGTCTCCATCAAATCTCTCCTCTCAGGGCTCAGGGAAACTCATGGAAGAGGAAGAAGAAAGGGTATAAGAGCCAGAGGGGATAGAGGACACCAGAAAACCAAGGCACAGGGCACAGGACCTACAGGGGTCTGCCACAAAGTCTCTAAGTCTATATTATGGGTTCCAGTTAAATGATTTTATGGGATGCCTAACTGTGTGAACAAGTGGATTATTTAATTCTTGTGCTTTCTCTTCGCCTTTTTTCCTTATGTTTGATTGTTTTGTCCAACTCTGATCTGTTAGTTTGGGTTTTATTACATTTTTTTGTTTTATTTTATTATTATTCCTTAGAAGTCTGTTCTTTTCTAATTAGAGACAGAAAGGCAGTGAATTGAGATGGGAGGGGAATGGGGGTGGAATGAACTGAAAGAACTAGAGGAAGGGGAATTAAGATATTTTGTGTGAGGGAGAAATCTATTTTTAGTGAAAGTTAAAAAGGAAGGAAGGGGAAGAAAGAGAGAGAGAGATTGAGAGACAGGAGTGGAGAGGAGATAAGATGGTAGACAAGAATGTTTCTGGATACTACAAAGTTTTAGTTGAAAAAAGAAATACTGCAAAAGTTCATCATGACAAGAATTTACATCTGAAATTAACTGCTTTTCTCAGTGGCTAATACTATTTTAATAAGTTATTTAACCAACTTGTGCCTCATTTTCCTTATCTATGAAGACAGACTAGTAATATTCATTAATTCAGAATTTCCTGAAAATTACATATTAACATGTATAATGTTCTTACAAGATTATATAATGGATAGTGTCAGTGCAAAAATATAACTATTGAGACACATACGAAAAAGCAGAAATCCCCCGCAGTCTTTAGCAATTCAACCCTGGCTGCTTGGAGCCTGACCCAGTGGCTTGTGCTACTTCTGGGAACAGAGGAAAGAAGCTTGTCTGGAAGCATTGGGTGGGAACCCCAACAAGGAGCCAGTCTGTTTCTCATCCTTGACAACCAGTTCTCTGTTGACTAGACATGAAAATGTCAGTTCTGTGAGCAGCTCTGTCTTGGCCAGAGGAAAGAAATACTAAAACCATTTAAGGGAAATGTTTCTTGCTCTAATTTCTTGTTTTTAATCTTTATTCTCTTTTTACAGAGGAACAAATGAGCACAGCAGCCTGGACACTGTGTGTGATCAGATTTTCCCTGAGCCTGAAGCTCCAGTGCAGTCCAAGCACCATGGCAGAAAGGCTCACCAAGATGGTCTGGTGGGACAACTGAACAGACCAGCCTCAATTTGGTAAAGCCTCATTAACCCCTAAATAGAACACTTGGTGTTAACAAAACAAAACAAAACAACAACAACAACAAAAAAACCCACACACATTAAATACTTGTCTTTTCTGTCAAACACTGTAAAAGTTTTTATTATACAGGAATTTAAATCTTTTTATCTCCCCAGCCTAGTAAACCATTTTTGCAAATGTTTTAATTCCACTTTCTTGTAAAACTTATTTTCCCAAAGTCCTTGCTGAATAATGAGAACTAAGTGTCTTAATTTTTCTTCATTTCCTTTGTGCTGATGCTTTTAAAACTAGCCAATCACAGGAGACTATGGCATGAGAACAGTCTATTGATCCTAGCCAATAGGGGACTGAAATAGTCACCACCTGCATTAGCATAAAAACAATTGAACTTCCTGTCCGTGTGTCCTTGGCACTTCCAATTCTTCTTTTTTGAGGAGTCTACACTTCTGATCAGAAGGAAAGTTATCCTTATCAAGGTCTCTTAAAATCTCCAAATTTACTTTCAACAATGGCAGTTCTTTCTTGGAACCCATTCCTGTTTGCGTGAGTTCTGCTAGCCCCCTTTCTCTTATGCTTTCACCTATAATAATTTTTTTTTTTCTGAAACTCACCTACCTAGTCTGTGAAATTATTCTGTCACATTGCTGCAAGATGAAGAATAGAGGAGCCATTGCTGTGGGATGGCTTTTGAGGCCAATGACTGTCTTGGATCCTAGTGCACCCCACCCCCAGATTACACTCAGCTGAGGTTAGAAAGTGTCTGTCTCAAGGACCTCTTCCAAAGTACAAACAATTAGGTCCTAATCCCTGTTTATCCATGGAGCTGAGCCCTAGATATGGACAAGTTTACTCTCTAAGAAGATAGTGAGATGTCTACTTCTTACCTTCCCACAAAGGATCCACACGCTAAAGATACCAGACTGAATAAGTTCTTAGCTATTATAACAGGCTCTCCATTTTTTTTTTTCAAAAGACAGATCTCTTGAGAATTCATCTTCTGTGTTCCTGTCTCTCATGCAGCATATATCCTTTATGAAAACTTTTGTATTATTCTGGCCTTATAAGTACTTCTGTCCACACTCTGTTCTTGGTATAACCACTCTGTTCTTGTTAATAACCAAATATTACTTGGTTGGATGTTTCTTGAATAAATTCAGTTACAGATTTAAACATATAGTCTGTGATTACAATCCTAATCTATCATTTTGAAAGTGGAATGATAAAGAACTAAGAATGTGCTGGTCTTTTTTCAGCTTAATCCTTAGCAAGAGAGTGGACAGGTATTCCTTTCTGAGTGTTTCCAACACACCTATAATTGTTATGAAAAGCAGCAACACAATTCAATCACACTGTACTTATACAAACATAACATAAAGTTTAAAACAAAATGCCCAAAACCTCTTCCATAGACGGCCTCTAATGACAGAAAGGTCATTATATAAAACTTAGTAGCTTTCTTCACAGCCCTAATAAAAAAATAAAGCACTAACTATTCCACATCTTAAGTGGTGTTCCCACTCGTGTTTTCACCACACTGTGCTTTAGTGTTTTTCTTAACATCCTCAAACAACTTCTCTTGATTTTTCTGAAAGTTTTCCTAAGCCAGTTACAACTAAAACAAAAATTCCAAAGGAGGAAAGCCAAAGAGGAAAAGCTACAAGAATCGGATTTGATTTTCCTACCCTTACCCCTTCCTTATTTCCAAGCAACTAATCCCCTCTCAAACAACACAATAGACCAGCTAGACATAAAGAAGGAGAGATAAAATTGGCCAGCTACTACATTGTCCTTGCTAATCTGAGCCATTTACATAAGGGTTAGGAGGCTTGTTTTATCATTTAAACAGACTTAAAGGCCCTTTGCAAATGAGATTTAGTTCCTACAAAAGAATGAATTGGTGCTATTTGGTGAGCTGCTTCTAGCCCAGAGCTTTCTTGGCAGTAACCAAGCTACTTCTTGGGCCACATGCAGTGTCTGCAAAGATTGCTTCCAGCTGCCAAAAGTGGGAAGCCTAAAACTGATTAAAATCTTACCAGGAGGTGAACAGAATGAGGCTGGGCTAAAAATCCTATCATACTAGAACTTGAACTATACCTGAACAAACTCTTTCTGGCAAAGTGTTTGGAAGATGGCTCTGAAAATTCAGAACTCTTTGAATCTTCCCTTGAAAAAGAAAAGACGAGCCGACAGGGAAGGGACCACAGAGACTGAAAGAAGCAACACAGTCTCCAGCTGTGACTTGAAGACAACCTAAACTCTTTGATTCATTGTTGGTCAGAGTGGCCTTGGGCACAAGGATAAACTGTACTCCTTTGCCAATGTCAGAACTAACTAACTAAACTAACTCCTCTGCAAATGTCAGAACAAAGGTAATTAAGAGAAACACATGTTCTTAGCACAGACTACACTCTTCGCATCAAAATCTTAGATTCCACAAATCTGGATGATAATCATATATACCACACACCAACTATATGTTTTACCTGGCACACCTTGAACAGATGTTCAGTGTGACCTTGGCCTGTGGCTCAGAAGGGTGAGTAGGTCGACCTTGGTTAAATTTGCTCCCGGAAATTACTAGGGTGGTTACGCCTTCCATCCTTAAGTCATCCAGATCTTCTGCAACAACACAAACAATGACAGAGAGAATTAACTCCAATTGAATTAAACATGCTTTAAGGTACCTATTAGACTAAATTCAGCATCCCCAGGATTCTCCTGAGGGGGGTTTCTGTTTACCAAGAAAGCAGATCTTGTAAAGGGGATTTCCGGTAAACACAATCTCCAACTTAATCTTCCAGGAACCTCCCTTAACCCACCGCCAAAGGTCAACTACCTTGGCAAGGGCCTCTAGTTTCCTAGTTCCCAGTCAGTCTGAATAGCCTGTATCTACCCAAAGACCTCCACTCTGCTGACTATGTAAAAGTCACTTGCTTTCCTGCCAGTTTGCTTTTCTCACTGCCCCCTGCCAGAGACATAGTCTTGACAATTTGGTAATTAATAAGTCTTTGTCTCTACCAATGGAATGGTCTAGTTCAGTTTTCACTGTGGTCTCACAATGAACATGCCTAGGTGTCATGATAACAATGCAAATGAATCTGTGGATCTTGAGGTTGAAAGGATGTACTTTACAACTAGTTTCACAAATAGAGCCAAGCTTAAAATGGACATAGCATCACACTGCTTGGTAAACACATAACTCTGCACCGTTACATTAGTGCAGCTCATCTCTCGTCTGTCTCCCTTTGTCTCTCTGTCTCTGTCTCTCTCTCTGGTTCTCTCCTCTTGCAGAAGCTTCTTTGAGTAGACAGTGGTTAATACTCATAACTGGTCCAAATCTAGAAGGTAAGTATCTGTGGAGTGTTCAGCCAACCGGATAGTTTAATACGTGGGCGCACCCAAACCCATTAGTCCCCAAACAGATGTTGGAAACACTCTCCATATCCAACCAGCAAACATATGAAACAACATGAAAGTAACCGGAGAAGGAATTTTCTTTTTTGCAAAAAGGGTACACTGGGATGGCAAGCACAGAGCAGAAGTTTACTTATGTTTTGTTGTTGTTGTTGATGATGATGTTGTTATTTTTGTTTTTTTATTTTTTTTCTAACACTGGTGGCAACCGCTGCTTTTTCTCATCCTTTGAGAACTGACCACACAATCTTTTCAAATTTGGCTAATTTTTAGAGAACCAGTGTAAGTTAAATGGAGGAAAGCAGGGTAGAAGGAAAGAGATTAGTTGTTGCAGGCCTGAATGTTGGTGAGGGGTTCTTTGGAGTCACAAAAGTTTTACCACGTGAGACGGATTAAAAGATCTGAATTCCTTTGCATAAAACTTTACAAGGTGAGGAGATTTATGGAATGTTGGCCATTGGTGATCTTACTAACCTTTGATAGCAAAGAGCATTTCACACACTGGGAACAGTTAAGGCATTGCTGGAAACAAACCCAAAGCTCTCAGCCTCCCAGGGTCCACGGCAGCTTAACTATGGTCACATATAACCAGTCTCACTTGCCTATCCAGTATCTCTGTGACAGCTGTCACATAATCTAAGTCACGTGCGGTCTATATCACAGGTCGCTTATTAAGAAAGCCTGATTTCCCTGTAATGGAAGACATACTTCTCTACTTTCTGGTGAAGAGACTTCAAAAGAGGCTCTCTTTTGGTTTTTGTTCCTCAGGCCTGAAGTTCTACCTTCAGAGCCCCACTGTGCCCAGCTGTTTTGCCTAAGAAGCATGATACATCCTTACACGCTTCTCAAAACCACCCATCTCTCTAATACCTCATTTGTGTGAGATTAAAATACTTGAGAGGTAAGGCCTAGCTGCATTGCCTTGGGAATTCCTTCCTACCCTTGCTACTGTACTCCCCATCTTCATTACCAAGGACTTCTTGTCATGCCAGGGCTCCTGCTGTTAGTGTTTATATAAAAATGCCACACATATTCAGATCTGATATAAACGTGTTTTATTCGGGGGAAGGGAAGCAGAAGAGAGTTAGAGCCTGAGTGAGACATGAGGATACAGTGGCAGAGACAGAGAGACAAAGATGGCCAGAGAGGGGCGTCGTGATAAACAAAAGCAAAGAGAGCAAGAGAGTGACAAGGTGGCAGGTCGGTCTTTTTATATCTGATGTGCAGCTGAATTGAGACTGCCAGGTACATCTGCCACATACCTGACGGATGGCACATGATGACATCATAGGTTACTAGACAACCCAGAGGCAGGCTGCTTATCCGCTGACACCTGTGCTCCTCCACTGCTAGACACTTACATTCTCCAGTGGGTGTCTTTCCCTTTGGGGAGTCAGGTCTACCAGAGACCTCTGCCTATCTCAATGCCAATAAACCCAACATCCTAGTGCTAGACCAGGTCTTGGTCTTCCCAGACCTGCTGACTCTTAAAAAAGTAAGAATTCTGCTATGCTCTCCACAATGGATTTGATCATACTTCCCAAAAGAGAACCTGGAATTCACAATGGTATTTGGTTCTTTCTTTTCTTTTTTAGACTTGCAAGTATTACTCAATCTCATGCACTTAAGATTCTCACTTTGGCTGTTTTACAAATTTAAATTCTTTATGCTGGTATTATAATAAACACAATCAATTAGTTTTTCTTTGTAGTACTGGTTGGCCACAGTGTAGTGGATTATGGCAGTCAGTGGCCAAAATTGATGCTTTTGACTCCAAAAATCTTCAGAGGTTTAGGAAATTTCATAGAACGCCAAGGCAATGGTAAGATATTTCAAGCTTTCTTCTGTCTCTATAAGTGTCCCTCTCTGTCAGCCCTGCACTGTATCTCAGTTCCTTTTATTGCATGGAAATCTATTCCATTCAAGGATTGAAACAGCCTGATTAGGGATTGGAAACTTCTTTCTAAAACTTCTATTTCCTCCACCCGGAGACTGACTCCTGGACCTTTGTTCTAAGATAATGTCCCTCCTTATTAGACCAAATCCCCAACTACCCCAAACTGGCTTCCTCTCCTCTGTAGCATTCACCCTAAACAGTCAAAGCACAACTTGGCAGAGTCGTTTCTCTTCTTTGTCTCCTTCTATCATGTGGTTCTTCCAGATCAAACTCGGGTTGTGGTTCAACTTACTGGCAAAGCTAACAAGTTGATGATTACATTGTTCTAGATTTCTTGTATTAGTGATGGTGGAGTCCTCATAGCAACTAAGATCTCTTTCTTTACTTAGTTTAATGAAACAGATAAGGCAGAAAAAGTCTCCTATGTCTTCAGGGAAAAGCTACCTGGCTTTGGAAGTTTGGTCCTTGTATCTGTGAGGTTGCTCTTTCAGGCTGTGTTGGAAAGCTGTTCTTGGTTCTGAAGCATCATACATATGATGACAACTCTCTCAGCAATTTGCCCCAAAAATTCAGGATTTACTTAATAAAACAAATATTAAATGGACTTTTCTCCTTTTTCTCCAGTTTCCAGCACATGTTACACTAAAGAGATAGGCAGAGTCACTGAATTCATGCTTGTCACACACCTGCAGTCCAGTGCATTCCCTATGAACCTCTGTAAGGGACGTCTGTCCTTTTCAAGGCCTGATCAGCAAGCAATAACTTTCTACTTTTCCTTTCTCAGCCTCCTTCCTCAGACACTGGCTAAAACCTTTTCTCTTCTGATTCTTTAGGTTGCCTTGCTCTTTCTCTAAGCTCCCTTCCTCACTTGTGGTTTCTCACCTGTCATGTGTGTGACCTCCATGGTGGCTCAAATGACCTACTTTCCTCCCATTCTCTGTCCCATGTTCTTCTCTTGGCACCTGCTGAGAGTGACAGCTTGCCTGCCATGACGTAGGGTGGGGTGGTCATAAATAATAAAATTGTCCTTGAGTTTTCAATTGCATCATTCTCAGATTCTTTTATTTATAAGACTAAGAAGCCCAAGAGGAGATTTCAATTTCCCTTGTAACAAAAGTTGCTTCCTTGGTTTTTATAATCTGTTAATTAATTATTTGAAAACCTGACCCTTACACATATTGGCTCCTGGAAACAGGCTTTTGAAGGAATGCTTTTGCTGCACTTATCTATAGACACAGGAAAAATAAAATACTCAGAAACCTAGAGTAGGAAGAAGCTGTTAATTATGTGGAGCGAGATAAGACCACCACCACAATTTTTGAGCCAAACTTGAAACAAGATTTATCAAATACTGGCAAGGACCGTTGATACTGGCCAGTTCCATACCCAAGACCCATGCTCAGATAATAGTACCAAATCGCAGTAGTCAGGGCTTATAAAGCCAAAGTACAAAAGGCTACATAGTTTCCACCTTTGTCCACTCAGAACAAGCAGCATACATCCTGAGGTATTTCCTAACTATTTACCACCTGTCTACCTGTGATCAAGCACACATCCTGTGTAGTTGGAGCCACTAAGCTTGTTCACAGAAGTGAAAACACACGGCTTATTATCTTATATGAACAACAGCCCAGCATTTGGGGAAGTTATCTGTCGTTGGTCAAGTGGGGTTCACAAGTTAGAGGCATTTTTGTTTTATAGATCTCTTAAGCACAGTAATTAAAGTTAAAGCATAATATTAGCCATCCCAAAGCCTTGGTGTGTATTAAAGCAGTGTGTGTATTAAATCTGGGGCTTGTAAGAATGAAGAAGCAATTAGAAGAGGAAGAAGCATATTAGAAAGCAGAGGAGGTCCAACAGAGTGTGAAGAATAACTGCAGGGCTGAATTAAAATCTGAGCAAGTTTTTCTACATTCTAACCTCTCAGGGCGACTGGAAAGGGGTATCTTTGCTTTCTACAAGACACCCACACAGATGACCCCAGAGAGAGTGGGGGGATAGTGGTGAGAACAGACCAGCTAGTTGAGGGAATCTGACAGCTCTCATCCTGGGGTTAATTCAAGCAGCAGAAATACATCTTTCATTTAACTTTTACCATAAGAAAATATGAGCACATTATATGAATGTTGTACTTTAATATTTTGAGAGGGCACTAACCTTTTTTTTTTTTCCTAGTAGAAAGCCCAATGCAGGGATTCGTGTTTAAAGGTAGCTTATAAAACTCCAGCACATCTTCTGAGTTCCAAGAATGCTACTGAGAAGAACAAACTAATGTTCCACTGAAGGCATAAGCTTTCTATCTTTATTC